TGAGCTGTGCTGCAGGGATGCTGCTCTCCAGCCGTGCCCGTTGCCCACAAACTTATTCCCACCTTGCCTCGGACCTGCCTCATCCTCACCACCTTGCCTGATGCTCTGAGCTCCCCATTGACACCGGTTTCCCCCTCATCCCCCCTTGCTCTTTTGCTGAGGGTGGGATGAAGGCTCCTGCCCACTGCCAGGTATCTATCCCAGCTCTCCATCCCTTTCTTTCCCTCTCGTGGCAGAGCAGGAGGTTTTCTTCAGGTGTCCAGCCGACACCGCTCCATCCTTGGGTTATCAGCCCTGGAGGAGGCTGGAGCCCACCATGAGCTGCTGGCTGAGCTGCTCGTCCCGTGAGGATGGAGAAGCTGCCCCGGCCGCCGAGCAACTGGCAGCCATCCTGTGGTACGGAGGCCTGCAGCAAGCTGTGAAATTACAGACTGGCAAGTGCCAGGCGCAAAAGAGGATTAATTAGCGTGCTGTGGCCACGAGCACCCGTTTCAGGCCCATGTCTGGCTGGGCTCGGCTTATACATCTCCATCCTGTGGCTGCCAGGAGGGCTCGGCTGGCAGAGCCCAGAGAGGAACATGAGCAGGGGAGCTGCTCTGGTTGGGGTTTTAGTGCCAAATTGCACAGGGGTGAATCCATAACCCAGCGCTGAGTCACCGAGTGCCCTGATCCATGGCTTGGGGATGTCCCTGAACCTGCCTTTCTCCTCCAACGGGGATGCCCTGGGCTGGGGGCGAGGAGGCGAAGGGATGCAGGATGCTGCAGCATGCTGTGATAACGCCCCGGGGAGAGAGGGCTGGGTTTGTGCTGGAGGTGGACGCAGTTTTGGGTACACTCTGCTCGGTGCAGGGCTTGCACGCTCCTCGCCTCCTCCCCATGCAGCCTTTTCTTGCGAGGATATAACCACCACCAGTGAGTTATCTGGCTCTGAGGCAGGAGATAAGCAGAGCTGGGGAGGATGCGACCCCCGGCTCGCTGCACTGCGGAGCAAAATCAAGCGGGGAGGGCGCAGCCGAGCTGCACCAGCCGACGGGGACCGCAGCTTTTGGGGGGATGTTTCTTTTCTCCCCATGGAGCAGAGCACCCTGGATGGAGGGGTGAGGATGAGGAAGGAGGGAAGAGCCTTGGTGGCCCCCTCGCAGATGGATTTAACTCCTGAAAGCTGGAAGGCGAGGCTGAAGGAGCGCTCCTTTTGCGGCTATAAAGAAGCATCATCGTACAAAGCGCCAGTACATCACTTGCAGTAATTCAGCTGTGGAACAGCGAGGAGCAAATAAGACAAGATGCTGCACATTAGCAGATGCAGAAGGATAGCCTCTCTCTTCAAAAACAAAGCATTTGTCTTCCAGCCGCAGTGAGCAACCAGCCCCGAGCAATGCAGGGGGGGCCAGCTAAAAATCCAGGGATGCTTTTATCAGCTGATGGGGGGCTGGTTGTAGCCTGGTCTGAGCCAGGGCTATGTGAAATAAAGCCCGTCACTGCGGGGGGAGAGGCTGCTGCAGTCCCCTGACAGCGGGTCGTAATAGATTTGAGCAAAAAAGCTGCGTCTACGTATGGGGACAGCTTGGGTTTTGGCTTCCCAGGGGTGGTCAGGATGAGTGCAGCGACGCACAGGTGCAGTCTGGGCTCCAGTCCCCTGCAGAACCGGCCTTCCCAAAGCCCGACCCCAAGCTGGAGCTCTTCCTTAGGCTGGAAAATATCCCATTATCCACTTTGATGGCTGCCTTTCATGTCAGTGAGCTCTGAAGTGAAGTCTCCAGGCAGCTGGGGGCTATTTTCAGCCCTCGCCGAAGCGAGACGTAGCGAGATGGCTTCTTCTGGGGGGAAACTTTCCAGCTGGATTTCACGAGCCAGAGGGATTGGGTGAGCTCAGAGGAGTTTCTCCAAAACCCAAACCCCAGCAGAGCCTCTCGTAATTCAGGTCAACTCAAACAGGAGCCGTGGGGAGGGTCAGAGCCGGAGGATTCGAACGCGAAGCTGAAATGCTGCTTTAAACCCCATCAAACCCTGGCTCTGGCCAGAGCAGCCACCGAGCATCCTTCCCGGCCAAAAATCAGCAGGATGCATGGCAGAGGTACCTGCCGTTCTGGGTCACTGGCCAGTCCGTGTCCTCGTTTTATTTGCTGATGGTTTCTTTATTGCATCTCGGAGGAAACGCAAGCCCTTCGCCCCTTCCTTTGCCGTCTCCGGCAACTCTCTGGTTGCTGTTTCGGGTGTTCCCAAACAGGTTTTGGGGTCCGGGGAGGGGCTGGGGATGGAGGACAGGGATGTTGCTGGGATCCTGTGGGGGAAAGGCTCGTTAATTTGTTAATATATAGTGTCAAGAGAAAGACAAGGTGTTTTCCCAGTCCAGCTCCTGTTCCATCCCCCATCACGCTCCCCGCGGCCATGGGCGGTAACTCCGGTGAGCTGGATCATGTCCCTGCAAGAGCAAAGTCCATTAATTCATTATTAATAACTAGGTTGGTGGTGCAATTAATGACATCATTAATAACTTTGTTACTGGTGCAGCAAAGCCATTTTTACTAGTTTGAATGGTTTCTCCATATTTGTGTTAATAATCGCTCCCATCCTCTTGAATTTTACCCTAAAAAAACCCCAAACCAGCAGGCTTTCCTGCTAAATAATAACAGCAAAACCCTTCTGGATGTGCAGAGGAGCAGCAAGGACATTGCCCGTGGTTCTCCGTATATCAGTGGTGGCTTTTATTACCCCTTACCCCGAGCAAACGGGAGCGGAGAAATTGCCCCTGTCTCTGTTTACCCCTGTTTTATGGAGGTTTTCCATCTGTGGGCCTGAAAGGTTAATACAGCGCTTACCGCCGCCATCGCTTGGATTTATCGCAGAGCATGAAATAAAGCTTGCACGGCTGTAAATTCGTTCTTAATAGAAACGTGAGGGAAGAAGCCATTACCCTTGTCCGTACGGCCCTGGCTGCAGCAATTGGCTTTAAATCCCTGGCCCCAAGGTGAGCGGCTTCGCCCTGAGCTGTGCAGGAGCCTGAGCTTTGCGTCCCCACGCCGTGCCTCAGTTTCCCCTCCGGCTGCCTCTGCAGCTCGTTCCGGGGCTGCAGGCGATGCGGGTGCCCCCAAATCTGGATCAGCCGAAAAGCATCTCCGCATGCAGCTCCGGCTGCTCTGAATTTTTGCCTCGTCCTCTTCCTGGCATCCTTCAGGAGGAGTTATTAAAGAACAAAGCTACATCTATTAATCATGCTTTTACAATGGGGCCAGGCTGTAAAAAGCTCATAAAAATAAATAAGTAACCAGCTGTTGACACGTGGAGTAATGGAGGGAGTGGAGAGGAGTTGTCCCATCCCACGTTTCCCCGTGCCGGTGCTGGCTGAGCCCGGCTGTCCCCTACCTGGGATGTGGGATGGGGACATCCCGTCCCTTGGTGGCCCTATTTGTGAAAAACAAGGGGTTAAGGCTCCCCTCGGGGTCCCAGCCCTGGGGGTAAGGGGAGATGCGGAGGAAGACGATGCGTCAGCATCATCAGCATCATCTTCCCCCCATGGTCCCCTCTGCCGGGCTCTTCCCTGTCCCAGCTTTGTCTGGGGCCGGGGTGTCCTGGCGGGGACCCGAAGGATGCTCCCTGGGTGGGAGGCACCGAACCCTCCCAAGGCTCTGCACATCGTGGGAACGTATGCTGATCCCCCAGCTGATGCCATGTCCCTCGGGTCCTAAAAACGAAAAAAAAATCCCATAATGCAAGGTACTTCGGGCGAAAGGCTTTTCTCCTGCTATGATTCAGGTTGAATTCAGAGTATTTTGACCACCGCCGCTTCCTCTTTGACGGTTGTTTCGTACGAGCGTCCCTCGCCCGCGATAGCGATGCTGGGTGGCAGCGAGGGGCCCGGCTCCGGGGCGACACTCGAGGCGGCACTGGGAAAAGGCTTGAAACGGAGCATTTCTGACCTGGATTAAAAACAGGGAGTCAAGGTGGTGGTTTTTTGCTGCCAGGCTTGGAAAAAAAACCCCACCGTCGTGCCGGGGATGCTCGAGGGCTGGTGGTGCAAATGCGTGTCTGCGGGAGGAAGAGCCGATGGGGAGGACACGGGGTGTTTGTCTCCAGGACCAGGTGCCGCACCGACCCCTTTGGATGCTGAAGGCTTCAGCAAAACCTGGAAGCCAAAAAAAAATGCCAAAGGTGGATTTGGAGGCCCAGATTCCCTCATTTTTTAGAGCAAATCCACCTTTTTTTCCCCTCAAATGGGGGCTGCAGCTTTTGAAATGCAAAACCAGAAGCGGGTACCTAAAGGAAAGCCGGAGACATTTCGCGTGTCAGTTCAAGACGGTTGCAAGACTTCCAGGTCGCTAATGTTTCCCCTGGACCTGGTATAAAGGATGGAAATTGGGAGGGGGGGGTTCCCCATCCCGACTCCTCGGCACTGGTGTGCTTTTGCTCTCTGCAAGCCCCTCTCCATCCCTGTAAACCTCTTGGGCCATGTGCCAGCCGGGGTGTGTGTGTGTGTGTGTGTGTGACAGCTCCGGTGACATCCCTGCTCTGCTCAGACATCGGATGTGACAAAGCAGGTCGCACCGGCTCTTCTTAAGCCAAACAGGGATAACATGTCCCAGGGAGGGACGTTCGCCGCTCCCCCCGGCCCAGCCACCCCCCCGCAGCATCCCCACGTCCCCATCCATCCCCTGGCCACGACCTCAGATGTGGGGGCTCTCCCCTCCATACAGGCTTCCCTCTCTTGGCACATATATACATATAATATATATATGTTATTGTTGTTATTTCTCCATGATGGACGGTTTATTGATCTGAAGCTTCTGTCCACAAAAAAAACAGTTTAAAATTCCCTGAGCCTCGAAAATGACGGGTAGGTAGTTGGGACATTTGTCTTCTTTACCACCTTTTCATGTTGATTTTATTATTAGTATTGATTTATTTAAATATATATTTATATATATATATATATAGTTTTCTGTCCCTCCCCAGGAATCCCCCCATCCACCCGCCCTCCCCAAATCCGTGCGGCGGAGCCGGTGTCAGTTTTTATTTTTAATTTTCTGCTTGGCCGGGATATAAGGCAGCACCGTCTGGGTGCTTTTATCGGCTACGGTCTGTGTGCTGCTGTTCCTCGTCAGCCGCCGCGCCGGGGGTCCACCACCACCACCGGTGGAAGGATGCTTCGAGGGTGGTCCCGCCAGCACCTTACGGCCGGGCTCCTCGGGGCCATCATCCCCTGGGGACACCGTGCTGTCACCGTCCCGGTCGTCATCGCAGCACAGAGCGTGGTAAAGCACCTTGTCGCTGAATCTGACCCGTTCCCGCGTGCCGGCCGGCCGGTGATGCGGGATCTTCTGGCCGGCCGTCGCGCCGAAGGCTTCCTCGCTGGATGAATCCGGGGTCCCACCGCCCCGGGGACCGTTGGTGATGGGGATCCCCCCGTTCATCAGCCGGTAATCGGGCTGGCGAGCCGGCGGGGGCTGCGGCTGCGGCCGGGGGGGCTCGGGACCGTCGCCCGGGTCGGAGGGAGTGGAAGCATCCAGGAAGGAGCAGAATTCCCAGCTGTCGGAGAGGATGTCGGAGGCGGAGAAATCGAGGGGTCCCAGCTCGAAGGCGCCTCCCCCCTTCTCACTGCTGGAGGTGCTGCTGACCGTCGCCGTCGTCCAGTCGTCCGGCTCCAGCTCGAACTCGAAGTCGGACGTCAGTCGGTCGATCTGGCTCACCACCTGCGGACAGACGGACGGACGGAAGGGCAGAGAGGAGCTGCCGGATGGTTTTTGCTCCGTAATAACACCACGTCCCTAAATCTCTGCCATTTCCCCCGGTATCACCCGTGTGATGAGTTGGGAGGCCTCAGCCCAGGTGGAGCCGCTCCGGGAGCCCTTCGGCAGGGACCGAAGCCCACCCGGTGGCACAGCACCTATGGGCCCCGAGCAGGCGGTGAAGCCTTGGGTGCTCCTGGGTGCTTGGTGCGGCAGGATGGGCCGTTCCCAGGGTGGCCCTGGGGTCTGCCTTGTCCCCTGGGACCCCGAGTGACACCCCAAATCCCTGCACACGTGGTGTCCCTTGGTCCCTTGCACCCATCCATGGGGAGCCACCAGCGACCGCCACCTCCTCCCCCCGGAAAAGGCAGCTCCGTGGGTCGGGAAACTGAGGCAAGGGGTGGAAAATGTCCCAAGACTGTGTGACAAAATGCAGAGCAGCATGAGCCACCAGCGACCGCCACCTCCTCCCCCTGGAAAAGGCAGCTCCGTGGGTGGGGAAACTGAGGCAGGGGGTGGAAAATGTCCCAAGGCTGTGTGACAAACTGCAGAGCAGCACGGGAAGGTCGGGGGCTGCGGGGACAGCACTGTCACCCCCCCCGCCCTGGCTGGGATGCTGACGGGCTCGGTCTCCTCCATCTCTTGCAAGGTGCTGAGTATATCAAGACCCATGGTGGCTTGGGGACAGGGTCGTGGCCCCGCCACGCCGCAGGGGACGGACCTTACATGGGGCATGAATAAAACAGGCCCTGAAAAAATTAAAAATAATTGACGTAATGTCCTAGCTGAGGTTCAAGCCACGGGAAGGGCTGGAAGGGAAAGGAAGGGATGAAGGACCTCCTTCCTCCTATGGCTCCCATGGACCGTGGTCTTCATCTAATGACCTTGCTGAGGTTTCGGATGCGAGAGGCTCATCATCCACCTTCAAGTCTTTAATCCCATCCAGCTCAAGGGCTACCCAGCACCGAGCACAGCACTAATCCTGCCCGGGGCTCCCCAATCCCACCCAAGCACCCGCTGCCGTGGCATCCGGCTGGAGCCATTGCTGTGTCTCCAGGAGCATCGTAGTGTTTCTTGGCTGGTGTTTCTGCATGGATATATGTGCGCAGGGGGGTGTGTGGCTTTATTTTGTGTGGGAGGCAGAGCACGATGCGAAAATTCAACTCAGCAGCAGTTTGAAGTGCATATTTTTGGCAGGGTTGCTGGCTTGCCTCCCCCCCCCTCTCCGGGGGAGCTGGCAGAGGGCCTGGCCGGTCCCAGCGCTGCCAAGCAGGAGGTGGGCAGCGGCAGACAAGCGGGGGGGCTAGGGGGAACCCCTCAATACCCCTCGTACCTGTTTGTGCACCCAGTTGATGCATTTTGTGCTCCCCCCCTCCCCAGCATAGGCATCTGCGGGCATCTGTGCCCCCCGGCACCCCAGGGCTGTGTCCCTCCCTCTGCTCCTCGGCCCCCCCATCCCGCACGTGGAGCATTGGGGAGTGAAAAAAACCCTGTGCTTAGCTTTTTCCAAGTGGTTTCTCCATGCATAAATGTGGGTTTTTTTCTGGTTATTTTTCATTATTGCCTTTCTCTCCCCACCTTTTTCCTTCTGCTGCCCTTTCGCACGTCCTTTCCTGGTGGAAATCAGCCACAAATTTCCCAAAATACCGGAGGGAAGACAAATCAATGGGCAATATCTTGCCAGACACGTTTCATTTCCTTCTCCTCATGCCACCGAAAAGCCCTGCCGTATCTCCACCGGTCCCACGGTTCATCGACGGGTGTTGGACCTCCTCATCCACCAAGAATAATTAATCATGGCACATCTCTCCATCATTTTTATGCTGCTGTTATCCCATAACTCCATTTTTTCGAGCACTTTTGCTGGCGGAGACCGAGTCCTTGGGCTCAGACACCCCATCCCATCCTTGTGGTGGGTAGCCAAGGACGGGCACCCCAAAGCTGCTGTCATGGTGCCCGGTTGCCCTTGGTCTCTGCATCCCTTTGCTAGCTGCCAGCGCGCAGAGGTTTGGGTCAACACCATAAATCACTAGAAATGCACCATAAAACACAGCTCAGCAGGGCAGGCTCCTTGCAAAGCCCTCGTGGTGGATGAGGAGGCGTGGGCAGAGTTAAGGGTAATTTAATATGTCTGGGCATCTGAAACCAGAAGCCTGGGGGGATGATTACGCTACCAGCAGCCGAAGTGGCTCCATGACACTCTGCTGACCTGATTTTAATAAAATTCCCATATTCGAGCTCCAAATTTCACTTGTTCGACAGCCCTGCCCATGCAGCTCTCCTGCTCTATCAAGCTCCCGAGGAGATGGCACCAAGGATGGGGGACCCCGACCTCCCATTTGCTTGTTGGGGGGATCCAGCCATCGCAGTACCACCTCTTTTAAATCAGCTGCAGGCCCCCATGGGACATCTCCAGGCTCCGGCTGCAGCGAGGGCCATTTCTCGGGTCACCAAATGCTGCATGACAACCTAGGGACAACCTGGATGAGCATCTCTGGAGGACAAAATAGTGTCACCTCCATGGGGGCACAACCCCAAGGGGCACAGGGGTCCGATACAGTTCGTGTGAGGGTGATGGGGCTGGATGTGTGCGTTTGCTGCCTGCTGCAAACACGGAGCGGAGCAACTGGGGAGACCTGGGAATGGGGAGACGCTTTCCGAGATGGGACCGGCCGGTGTCACCAGGGAAACGCAGGTTGAAGGGCTGGGGATTGCTCCGTGTTGGACACGTTGGCAATAAAAGGTGCCAAAAAACAGCTTTCCAGGGAAAAAAGGGTGCAGTGGAGTCCGGATGAAGTTTGGGTTGGAAATGAGAGGAGCGCTCCCACCATCAGACCTGAGCACATGGTGATGGGTGCTAACACACCTTAACGGCCCCGATCAGGCCCACCTGGGACCCCCACCCCACCCTGCCCATGGCTCAGGAGCCCATATAAGCTCAGCCCAGGGCTAGAAGTCCCCTCCTAAGCTGTGCTGTATGAGTGGTTTCTCTCCTGGATGGACCTCTTGAAGGTACATTGAAGCCCATCCCTGGTCCTGCCTCGGGGATGGACCTCCATCATGGCACTGTCACCTGGAGGGACTTTGGGTCCCCAAAGCAGGGTAGTGCTGGGGACAGTGAGCTGAGCGCTTCTCATCCCAGGCAGCAGAAGGCAACAGGCTTTACCTAAGCTCCTCACCCGTGATCTTCGACTTATTTTTCCTGCCTCCTTGCCCACGCAAGTCCTCCAGAAAGGACAGGCAGGGACCCATCCATCCTTCAAGCTTTGGCTTTGAAGGGTGCTGGGGGCAAGCTGGGAGCATCCGCACCAGCATCTGCAAGAAAGTCTTGAAATTAGAAAAGGCAATTGCATCTGTTCCCAATGCACCATGAAATTTCTTTTTTTTCCCCTTTTTTTTTTTTCCTCTTTTCTTTGGGGGAGAAAGGGTGAAACTTGAGGAAAAGAGAAAAAAAAAGATGATGTGACCCCTTCTTTCTCAGTGACAAGAAAGAATGAGGAAAAAGGGCAGGAAAAGAGCTGTTCCTGGGAAACACCCGGCTATTATTTTTTAATAAGGCAGCAAATGATTCTGCTGAAACCCTCAGCTAAAATGAGATCACCTCTGTTTTCACGAAGGCTCAGTGATTACAACGTCGGGCTCAGGGTGAGCATCTCCTTGGGCTTTGAGTCGGGTCCCTGTCACTCAGGGTCCTTGCTCCTCCTCATCTTCATTAAAGGGATCCACTGTGATTCGGGCTGGGTGGGTGCCAGGAGATGTCACGTCCTCGTCCCAGTCCTCGTCCCGGCACACAGGGATTAGTATCGCCCCAGCGGTGGCTCACTCGGGGCTATTTTTAGGAGCGCTTTCTATTTTAAACGGGGGGTGGTGGTGGAAGGGGGGTGGTGGTAGGGGTGTTAAATACCTATGTGACACTTGGTATCCGCTGAGGATTTAAATGTGAAGTAGGATTTGGTCTTTTCTCCCTTCTTTTCTCCTTCCTGAGGCAGGTTGTCAAAGATTTTTAGCTGAGGCCATCACTGCTGGCAGAGGGAGCCAGGGCGAGAGCGATGGGGAGGGAGAGATGGACCAACCAGACCTGGGATCGGGTGGTTTGGGGTGAGACCCTGGTGATGCTTTCATCCCCCAGTGAACTGGGGTGGCTCTGTCCCCCTAAAAGCAGGTGAGGAGGGTTGGGGTGTCCTCAGCATGTGCTGGAGGTGCCATGGGGGTGACCGAGAGAGCACGTGTCCCCATCCTCCCTCGCCTTTAGGTTTCACCTTGCTGCAACAAGCCACCTTTTTAGTGACAGCAGAGCATCCCTGGTCAAACCAGGCGTACCTGGCAGCAGGCAAATAGGGAGCAAAAATAATTCCCCTTGACCTCGTGCTTGGTGTCACCAAGGGGCCTCATCCTGCTGTGCCCAAGCGCCCTGAAAGCAGGCGCTGGGTGGCCAAGGGATGCTCAGCTCTCGCCCAAAGTGACAAGCTTTGAGCAGCCATAGGATGAACTGGAGCGAGGCAGAGGGATGGGCCCACGTCCTCGTGGCACCCCGTAGAGACGGGCACCGAGTGAGGATGTGCTAAACCGCGGCACCGACCAGTTCACCTCCACCCCAAAAACCAGCTCCCACCATTCAGCCCACCTGGGAGTGCTGGGTGCTCCCCTCACCCCATGTACAGTCCCTGCACCCATGGACACTGCTGGCAGCCAGGAGCTTTCCAGGTGAAAGCCTGGGTGCCCCAAATTGGGCGTTTGCCTCCCCAGCTGAGGCAGATGTTGAACATCTAGAGCATCGTTGTTTTTTAATGGGATTTTTGGTTATCAGCTGCAAATCAAGCACGGAGGTTCCTGGCTTGGTGGCTCTAGCTTCCACATTTTGGCCATGCTGTTTCCTATCGAGGGGCTAAACCTCCTGGAAGCTCAAGAAGATGCTAGAGAGGCGAGGGACGAGGCGGGAGGACAAGAGGGGACTTCAAAGGCTT